GTCAGCAGCCCTGTTGGGTTAAGGAATGGGTTAGTTACTTCCAGCTGTCTCCCACTCCTGAGTCTCATACCTCGTGGGGGGTGTTGCTCACTTTGCCTCCTTTCCTCTTGCAGTTCCAACTCCTCGAACATGTCACTCAGCTTCTGCCCATCATGGTCCCTGCAGTTATCCGTTGTCATGGTCCCCTCCAATTGCACTCTTAGTTTTTGTGGCCCACTATTTGGGGCGGATCCTCTTTGTGGGGTCTCCTGCATCTCCCTCAGGCTCTCTCTGAGTCCAGCCACTTCTTGCTCGATCTTTTCTAGTATGTTCACCTCTGTTTGCATTTCGTCCAGCTGTCTTAGTTCATCATTGTATTCGCGCTGTCGGTCTATGTCATGATCAGCCATTTGGCGTGGGAGACTCTCTACCCAGTCCTGACATTGGCTTGTGCTGGTTTCCTTTCTCCTTGCTCCCTGCTTCATTTCCCTTTCTCGTCGACTTACTTTCTCTATCTCTTGACGCCTCCTCACTTCTTCCATTTCACCTCTTGTTTCTTCGTACCGTCTCCTTTCTCTTTCCATAGCCTGCTGTTCCTCCTCTGCTTTCGCATACATCTTTCTGCACTGTAATGCTGATGTCTCGCTGGCGTGACTGCTTTGCACATTTGTGCATTGGCTCTGTCTGCCCACTGGCAAAATATCTGCAGTTCGTGTACTCCCTCTGTCGCTACCTCTGACTGAAACACTCTCCCTATCTTGCATCTCTCTATCCACTAACTCACTATCATCAACCTGCTGTGTCTTCCATGTTACCTTAATCTTGCCTGTCAGCTCTCCTTCTGCACTCCCTCTGAGTGGACACTGAGCTCCCTGTCGCTTTTCTTCATTTGGGGTATAAGGGGGTGGATACATGGACAGTTCGGGTGCTGTGGGACTTGGGGACTGCCTTGTGTTTTCTTCCTGTCCCTGTACTGGCATTTGTTTCACACCTATTACTAGCCTTCGTCCCTCCTGTCTGAACCACCTTAATACTTCCCTTTCACTAGCTCGCTTTCTCTCTCTGCTGTCACTTGTGTCTTTGGCTTTGTAGTGCTTGATGTTGGCTTCCACTTCGTTGCACCAGGCAGCTTCGAAGGTCCCATCCTCTGGCCACTGTAGTTTTCCTGTGATCCTTTTATGCCATTTCTTCACACAACTTCTTATTTGTTTCTCATGGTCAGGCTGCCTTTTGATCACCAATTCTATGGGCGTTGGCTCTCCGCCTCCCTTTGCCACTTTTGCTCCCATGTATCCCTGCTTTATTTCTAGTAGTCTAGGGATCTCTGGATCACCTTCTTCTTTTGTTCTTATCTGTACAATTATTTTACTGACAGTTATTCCGTCTTTTAATTTTTGTTCTTTCCAAGGGTTATATCTTAGTTCTCCGTCAATTTTGGTGATACAGCTGAACTTGCCTGTTTCCCACTGTACTTTTCTAAATACTGCGTCTAGCACTATTCTTGGATCTACAGCTTCCCTATTTCTTCCTGCTAGGGTCAATCCCTCAGGAATGTTTAAAAATGGTGCTAGTGGAATTGTCACTGTTTTACCTGGATTGTTGCACAACTGCTCCAATGGTATGGCCAAATATTTTGGGGACCACAATCCGCGCAGAATCTGTTTCCACGGTACCAGGGGAAAGTCCTCCTGTATGTAATGCAAATTCACAAATCTAGTTAATTGCCACAATTTTTGGTTAATCTCTTGTTCGTCTTGCCAGTGCTCAAACCCCTCGTCGTCTCTGTAGGTTCGTTCCAACCAGAAGTGTGTTCTAATGCCCCGTGTTTCTTGATCTCCTTCTGTTACAAAATGATCAGGTGTTATTATCTCATCCTATCTCCATTAATCTCCATATAATTATTCTATCCCTGTTTTGTTAATTGATTTGACTGTACCGTACTATTTCATTCAATTCAATTTATTATGATACTGTATAATTTATAATATTGCAATTCAAAGTTTTAATTATTCTCTTCTTATTTTTATTTACTTTTAAGCCATCATTTATCTGATTTATTTGATGCTAGGTTCCTTTATTGAAGCTTTGGTTTATTTACTCAACTTATCAGACTCTATATGGTTTTCTAAATAATGCTTATTTTATTCTATTTCACTTTAATACCCCTTCGCTTAGGTTATAACTTCAATCATCCTCCAAATTACTCCACTAAAGAACAATAAAAAGGCTATGAGGGCACAAAGGCCAAAATTCAAAAGCCCTCTTTGAGTCTGCACTCTTATCTCCTCTAAACTTTCTATTTTTTCCTCTCTCTCTCTCTCTCTCTCTCTCTCTCTCTCTCTCTCTCTCTTTCTCTCCACCTCCCACACTGACAATTCAAACCACTCCTGTCTTGCCTGACTGTTATTTATGCTCATGCACTCCTACTCTTCATCAAAACGAACAGAGACTGACAAACAATACTGACAACATTGGCCAATAAAACAAAAACCCCTGTGCACCACAAGTCACTCTCCTGGTGACTGTCGCCGTCCCTAGGCGACGCACGCTATATGCCGGCTGTCTATTTGCACCCGTTCTGTCCTGACGTTTGATTCTGAAAAGTCCCAGCACCCAGCTGACACCTTACAGTAAGTTAACGTGCAGCGGTATCCACGCAAACGACTTTGACAGTTATCTATTTGCGCCCATACAGTCCTGACGTTTGATTCTGAAAAGTCCCAGCACCCAGCTGAAACCTTGCAGTAAGTTAACGTGCAGCGGTATCCACGCAAACGACTTTGACAGTTATCTATTTGCGCCCGTACAGTCCTGACGTTTGTTTCTGAAAAATCCCAGCACCCAGCTGAAACTTTGCAGCAAGTTAACGTGCAGCGGTATCCACGCAAATGACCTGTCGCGAATTGCCTGTTCAGACCTCTTTGTAATGTTTGCCAGGCTGTCCCAGCGCTCAGCTACCCACCCTACTGGCAACACACGCAGAGTGGTATCCACAATCGCATTAGTCGACTCATATCTTTCACAATAAAAATAAAATAAAATAAAACCACTGTGCACCTTAAATCGCTTCTCTCTTCTTTTCTATAAGACAAGACACACTAACACATAACACTAACACATAAATCCAAACGGTGACACTAATTAGAGATGATTTCACCCTATGATTTATACCCTCATTACCTACACACAGTTATTTATTGGCCTGACCTTGAGTTTTTGCTGCCTGTCCGCTATCAGTTACTGGCCCCGCTTTGATGTTTCCACCTGGATAGTCAACCAAATGAGTCCTCCAGCAAAAATCAAACAGGCAGTCAACCAACAAACTATACACACTTGCAACAAAATATCTTCAAAATCAGTCATTCTTTCGCACCATGGTCAACCCGTCAGATAAAAGACAAACATTGACGCACAAACAAATGGACAGACAATGAAACAGACAAACAGAGAGATCTACTCCCAACTTAATTCATCCCCATGCAATTATTCAAATGGTTATTTATAGTCTTTTTAGCAATTTCTAAATTTATCTAGGTTCTAGGAGGTACGAGTTCGGCGGGGTCTGACCTGGGCGGATCATCCAGACACGCTCCCAGACATCTCACTTCAAATCTGCAGACTTCTTAGAAAAATAAGGCTCTGCTTACCTCTATAATTTTTGTGTGAGTGTCAGGGTGCGCCCCCGGATGGCTCCGTCCTGGAACGTCCAAGGTCACCACCATCCGATTTTACTCGACCTCCTGGCTGGCTCGCCACGAATGTTGGGTCTGGGTCAGAAGTTCTCTTTTTGATCAGAAGATTGTGTCCAACATACGATTTTCTAAGTCCAAATTAGTCTAAAAGTTATTCTCCTTCTGGTGGAAAAATAACAATCAGGATTCATCAAAGTTGGCAGTAGAATAGAGCTTTATTATCTTGACAGACAAACAAAGCCCGAGCCATCCATGGAAAGACTGAATTCATCCTCACAAAGCTTCTTCTTTTATACTTTTGCCCTCCTGTCACAAGTCCTGCCCACCTTCTACCTTTTCCATCCACGACATAATGGTGTATATCTACTTTGAAAAGACCCTAAATCTCCACCAGTACGTGGGTCCCAATTATTTTGCCCTTGTTGGGCCCATGCGCCATCCTAGTGGTTGTCTTATCATCCCAATTATCCTGCCTTTGTTTTGCTCACGCTCCATCCTACTGGTGTCTTACTTGCCTGCTAGGCCTTGTTCTTTCACTGCCCCATTGTCTTAGGCCTTTTTTTCACCTTGATCTATTTGTCTTCTTATTTTTTAAAAAAATTTTTACCCCTTTCCCCTCCCCCTTTTTTAAAAAATTTTTTTTTTTTTTTTTTTTAAAAATTAAATTAATTATTTTATAAAAAAAAAAATTTTTTTTAAAACCACTGACACACATTTGGTATAATCAGTGCTCATTTCTAGATATGATAAGAAAAACTTGTGTTACAACCACACATTCTATATGTTCCACACATTAAAACAAACCTTTACTAAATAACCATGGTGCTTACTACTGATAAGAAAACTTGTATTTGTGCTTTTCATGAAATCATATAAACTTAAAACACATGCCTTCATTAACATCCTTGTGAGCTTATATAAATCTATTCTACTTAACACTCAAAATCATCATTACTTAAAACATAGTGCTCTCTACTTGATTTCCAGTTATCTGTGTGAACAAACAACAGTGCATAAGAAAACTTAAAACTTTTGTGTGATTATTGTGTGATTAATTGATTACTAACTTGTAATATGCACTAACCTACTTATAATATGCACTAACCTACACTAAATGTTATACTACACTATTCAAATTCAGTTTTTTAATGCAATTATTCAAGTTGAGCAATTCAGATTCAGTTCTAAATGATTCAAATTCAGTTTCTACTGACACAAAAATCAGCCCATAGAGCAGCTTCCAAGTGTGGCTTGGATTGTGTCTATTGTCACTTATTAAGTGAGAGAAATAGGCTCCTTTGGCAGTAGACAGAGCACACTTGTAACACATTGCACCATGAAACCATGATCCTAAATGTCTGTATATGTGTCTTTATATGTGTCTGCAGGAGTAAGCGTCATAAGTCTGGCTCTATGGAGGAAGAGGCTGACAGTCCAGGAGGGGAGTATTACCACTCACCTTCCTCTCCTGCCAGCAGCTCCAGAAACTGGACCGATGACATGGAGGGAGGTAAGAGAATAAGAACAAGAATCAGCATTATAGTGTCCAGTGTCTGTAATAATAAAAACAAATATAATTTATCACTAAATGAACCTATTTGAACATGTTACATATACTGAAATCATTGTGTGTCTATGGTGTACTAACAGTGAGTCATTGTCTTTTATTTACTGTTCATCCATAATAACATTAGAAAATGTACTGTATGCATCCCTTTTACTCAGTTTTTTTTACATAAATTATTCCCAGGCTGAATAATAACAGCAAACATCAACCTGTATCGAAGCACTAACACGTATACAAATATCAACTCATCATCAACACATTCTTAAAGACTAACATGATCTAATACTTACATAACATTATTACACAGTTGAGTAGAATATCTCAGTTTACAGACACAATTGTATTACACTATTGTATTACACCCCCCCCCCCCGATATAATTAATCTCACTCTCAATTAATCTAATGCTAATGAGTCATCACTGACAGAGGTGTGGAGTCACATGAGTGGGGCGGCTGTGGCTCATGAGGTAGAGTGCATCGTCCACTAATGAGAACGATGGCGGTTTGATCCCTGGCTTCTCCCATGCAACGTGACATGGACTTTAATACCAGTAACTTGTAGCTTCACTTCGACTTCGGCTTTTGACTTGAAAATACTAAATTTCTTCCCCTAAGCCCAAAGATTAAAAGAGTATGTTGTTTAAAGAGTGTGCCACAAATAAATTAATTTCTAACACTAATGCTATACATTCTCAGCAAGTCCACACTTTATTCCCCAGATCTACTTTGTTAGAACCAATGGTAAATGGACTGCACTTATTTAGCAACTCTCTAGTTTTCTGACGACCTCGTACGGTACATGTCACATTCACCCATAGTCATACTCTGATGGCAGCTGCAATTGCTTATCAGATAAGTAACACACTCACAAACCGATGACTGACCATCAGGAGCAATTTGGGGTTCAGAGTCTTGCCCAAGGACACTTCAGCATGCAGTGGGAGGAGCCAGGGATCGAACGGCCGACCTTCTGATTAGTGGACAACCTGCTCTACCTTCTGAGCCGCAGTCGTCCACCAATCCAACAGCATCCAGTCAAGTTGGAGGAGGGAACCATGAAGAGCTAACGTTACAGACCTATTAAATTAAAGCATAGGTTACAAGATAACGTTTGTTAACATTCCACTGTGCATGTATCACACCACAGACCTCTTTGTCCAAACCAATAATATATTCCTTTTTGATTGAAAGATTGCCAGCGGAGCTCCATGGGTTGCAAACATGTCTGATAGAGCTCCATCTCAATCTGTAGTTTTAAGTCTTCTTCCATACAACATGATGTTTATTTAGTAAATTATGGGCCCCATTTAGAGTAAAATAGATGATAAAGTAGGGTAAGCTTTTAGTGATTGTTAAGTTGCTCTTTAAAACCAACATAACAAATAAATGGGTCCCAGCACCTTTGGTTCTTGCAGTGTTGAAGTGCAGTGCAGTGTTTTTATATGTATGTATTTTTTTAGGCCTGTCTCCTCCAGTGAAGAAGGCAGAGCTGGACAGTCCTTCCCCCCAGGAAGACTCACCAAGACTGGGCTCCTTCACTCAGCATCATCGACCAGTCATAGCTGTTCACAGTGGTCAGTAACAAACACACCCACACACAGCTGAGACTATTCCAATCCAATATTCGTATTGGAACATTTTAGATATAGGACTGATGGCATCGATCCATGCACCAATCCAGATTCCATAGCGTAATGCTTTTATGAATTAATAATTTTATGCTCATAACCAAAATGTTGTAGCAGAGATAAATTAATTAGTAATTAAACTGTTCTCTAAAGGTGCCACTTACAGACAGAGCTAGCGCTGGACCCTGAACCTGACATAACGTAACAGGAGAGCTAGAAAAAGTTGGCTAACTCAACATGTCTTGAGGATATTTTGAAGATATTTTAGTCTCCAAACACAGAATAGCAAGACAGCAATTTGTAATGTGTGTAAGGCTTACATTGAGACAGGTGGAAGTTATCCTACATCGTACAGAACTACCAATTAAATTACATGTATTATTATCAGTATCTGCAGATATCCAAATGTAGGTATTGGAATCGGATCTAAACAAAAAAAAAAAGTGTATTGGTGCATCTCTGCACACACAAACACACACAAGAACAAAATGTAATTTACTGTATTGTTTCTCTCTCTCTCTCCCTCTCTGTGTCATCTCTCCCTCTGTCTAGGTCTGTCTCGGAGTCCTCACCCCTCCTCATCTCTTCATTTCCCGTCCTCCTCCTACTTCCCCCATGGAGCAATCCGCTATCCTCCTCACCTGGCCCAGGACCCCCTAAAAGATCTCGTCTCACTGGCCTGCGACCCTGCCAATCAAGCGTCCAGCTCGGTAAGGACAGCCAGTCAAAAGGTCAGCTCTAAGAAAAGTGTCACAGAGCTCCAAATACTATTTCCTTTCTCCACTACTACATTAGCTGGCTAACAGCTAGCGTTTTACTACAGAAACTACTAAAGTCTTCTTGAACTTGGGGGTACAGACACAAAAAGAACAATCTAGAGGAAATGTAATGTGTACAACAGAGGCTTTGGGTTTTCATGAAAATTAATAATCAGGATACCGGCAGTATATAATATCATAAATACAGAAAAACAAGAAGTTGTTATTATTCCAAAGTGCATGTCAATTTATATAACATTCAGGTCCTGCCCTAACTCGAAAACATGACAACTCACTCTTCTCTTCCTCTTTTTATTTTCTGTCGGCTCTGCTTTGTTTATTTTGTTGCTACTCGGTTACATCTTTGCTTAGCTAATAGTTGTTTGCTGCTATATTCATGTTTCTATATCTTATGGATATATAATATATGGATATGGATCGTATGACTTTTAAGATATCCTGTGCCTGATAAAACCCAATGTTTGTTTGAAAGCGAAGGAAAGACATTCATATGCAAAATCTTAAAAAAGACGAAATTTTCGGCTTTACAACCACAAGCTAGATTGCATTTCCAATAGAGTACTCACTATGTGGCCTGGGGCTAGTTTTAGTCATAAAACCTAAACAAACAAACATGCATATACACACAAAGAAAGAGAGAGAGTGAAGAAACAGTAATGGAACTGCAGAATGCAGCTGTAACCTACTGCAAATCTGTTTGCAGCAGTTAATCATTGTTTAGGTTTCCATTGCCACTGCTGGCACTTGACTTTCCTTTAATTCAATTCAATTCAATTTTATTTCAATTTATATAGCACCAATTCATAACAAAAGTTTTCTCAGGACACTTTTCAAATAGAGCTGGTCTATTTAGAGACATAGGGTAGAGGGAGAGAAGGGATGGGTGTTAAAGAGAGAAGGACAGAGACAGAGACAAAGGTGCACAGAAACAACAATAGCAACAACTATACCACAAGTAGCCCTGCACTCAGAGATCACAGTAAGGGGTGCAGGTTTGCATTTATAGATCTAGTCAGAGTAACTGTGAAATTCCTCCAAGTGCTTTACACTACATGTCAAACAAAAAATATAGTGATAACTTCTGTTTAGCCAAAATATAAGTTTTATACCTCTTACATAATTCCTAACATGTCTTCACTCCATATATATTATGAGTCTGAACTGACATGATGTAAACTGTAACTTGATTGGCTGGCAGACACATTCAGCCACGGGGTGGTAATTCTAGTTTCCTATATATTGGACATGCACAGGACAATGCATGTGCCATTCACTGTGAGTTCTCTTCTACACAGAATCATGGTTTGTTTGAGAGTTGCAAACATGAGGGAAAACTACTTATAAAAAACATTAAGCTTCAGAGTGCAAATGAAAAAAAAAAAACTACACAGACCAACTGTTTGAAAGTATAGCAGTATTGCAGCACATGTTAAATATGAGTATATGTGGTTGACAGCCTTTCTGATTTTTTCAGCTAAATGGCAGCAACCAGGTTAAAGTGCCCACTCACTACATCTCCTCTCAGATGTTGGCACCCCCTGGACCAGCACCCTCCCTGGCTCCTCCGCCATCCTCCCTCCCCAGGCCGACACTGCCTGCAGAGTCAAAGGCCACTACCACATCCTCTGATGGGGCACACTCCCCCACATCACCCAGTAAGTGTTCAGAATTTTTAAATGTATTAGAAAAACACACAGCTACTGTATGCAGATGTAAACTGCAGCTGTGGAGTACAGACACCAATTTAATAAAGAACTTTTTAGTTAAATCTTTTCTATCTGTACTGGGTCTATCAGGGATTAATTTTATATGGATTGTATATCTGGACAGTAACTATTTTCCTTTTTTTTACGATTTCTCACTAAGTTTAAAAAAGAATGATCAAAAGTTACTTCGACCGCAGTTAAAGGACCAGTGTGTAACATTTAGGAGGATCAGTTGGCAGAAATGGGATATAATATATAAGAATCTTTTTTTAATTTATTTATTATTATTACCTTAGAATCAGCCGTTTACATCTACAGACGACAGTCATGTTTAACCACCATGTTTCTACAGTAGCCCAGAATGGACAAACCAAACGCTGGCTGCAGTTAGGACCTTTTGCATTGTTCACAGCCATTGTAGTTTCTTCCCACAGCCAATTCTCATTCCCAGGTCTTCACATGCAGACGTGAGCAGTATACAGTTAGTTGCAATCTATAATTTTACCACTAGAAGCCACTAAATCCTACACACTAGTCCTTTAAAGTCTTATTACTTTTGTTATCTTTAGGACCACTTAGAATACTATGGAAAGAAAGTCTAACAAACCTCATGGTAAATGAAAAAAGAGATGGATTCATCTTTATATAAATCAAACTGAGCCCAGGTTGCAGTCCTAGCTGCCATTAATGTAGCTGTGACAAACTTTAGGAATGCACAAAGACGTGTGTGTGTGTGTGTGTGTGTGTGTGTGTGTGTGTGTGTGTGTGTACCGTAGATGGTGTTAGAGGTTGGTTGTAGAGGTGGACTGATGTTAATTGTACATCAGACACACATGCACACACACACACACACACACACACACACACACACACACACACAAATATATATGGTAGGTCCTTTGTGATATGAACAGATTTTGACAGATTTTGAACAGTTGATTGAACAGTACTCTCTCATGCAACTTGGTACAAAGTGACATGGAATTATGATAGACATATTATGATGTTGTTAACGCAAACACCCTCAGCATACTCGGCCCCTGGGACCCCCCCTGCTAATCGCACCTCCTTCGTTGGAGTCACCCCTCGAGACCCAGGTGGACTCTACCAAGCCCAGGTTAGTATGGTTCATTTGACATTGTCAAGCTAAATTTAGGGGAGATCCAGCACCCACTTTATTGGAGGGTTATCAGCCTTCAGGATCTGTTTTAATAAAACATATCAATTCCCACTTTTTGGCAGTATCTAGCAATGCCAATAGTTGCAGAAGATGCCTCTAACAAGTGAGCTTTCGATATATATCTGCCTTTAAGACTTCCAAGGGAGTGGTTCCAAATTAGAAGGTGCAAAACTTACATTTGGTTAAATAATACAAATAACATATGGTTTGTGTGGTGCTCAAAGCCTTGATTATGTTGCTATATTTTAACATAGCATAATAAAGTCGAATGAAAGAAAACAAATTTTGTCTTTCCCTTTGTGCTTAATTAGGATGACTGAATATGATGTTATGCATCCACTATAGACTTTGTACGTAGCTCTTTAATTCATGTCGCTTTCTACTGACACTTTTAAGTATTAGTATGATAGCTTTCAATAAAAAGTCAGTGCCCTGTGGTTTAAATTAGGGCTGCTAATGTGGCAAAACATTAAACCTTTGCGATTGCAATATGATTCCCATTTAGTGTGGAAAATATTTTTGCACCACAAATTTAATTTCCACTGAAAATTTTTTAGGTGACATTTTTTAGATTTTTTTTTTTACCAGATTTTCTTAAATCTGGAGACATGAATTTGTAGACCAAGGCATCTCTGTTCTGTTTTGACACATTTTACCTTTATCAAATTGCACTTGGTCATATAGCAATTTGGATAATAATATAAATTTCAAAAAATCATAGAAATAAAAACCTATAATCTATCTGACAATAAACCATTGGTTGGCAGATGAATGTTTACAGAGACAGAGACTGTCTGCAGTAAAGGTGGTAGGTGTTGATAAAGAGGAGAGCTGGACCTTCTGTGTGAAGTGTGGATCGTGTTGTTGCTGCTGCACTGCAGTGCCTCTGCTCCAGAAACAGTTCAGATAACACTACTGGGCCAGGAGTCCTCTCCCTACCCCTCTGTCTGTCTCTGTGTGTTTCTAAAGTATGTCACAACCAAATACATGGTGAGATAAATTCTTAGAGGTTGAAATCCAGTCTCAGTTTAAATTAAATTATGTTGGTTTTCATTAGTTAAACATAATTTAGGATTAAACTCAAATCTCTCAGTGAAAAAACTTTTTATTATTTCTATAGATAAAACAGCACATTCAATCACTTTATTTGTATTGTCAAATATATACATATATTTGAGAAATAATAAAAGATGTTACCATTTACACATGCTTCTTTGGGGATTTTAATTGTTTCTGAATATTAATATCTGAATAAAATATATTGTGTGTCTGTCTCTGTTGCAGTCTTGGTATCTGGGCAACTGAGTGAACTCTGGAGGAAAGGTGATTGTCAAGGCAGTACTGTCCTGGAGGAAAGCAAACAATGTTGTCAAGACATTGCCAGAGGAAAAATATATTCTGCTTTGTAGAATGATAACGTGGTCATACATATATATAAATATTCAGTGTGATATATTTATATATGTGTATATACCCAGAAGACACAGCTTGGATGGAAGAAGGATGCTGCTTTCACTTATTGTTGCAGCCACAGAAAGAATGAACTATGCTATATGACACTAAATGGTTCTCACTAATGGCCACTGACATGAGATTTTCAAGTCAAAGTCATGGAGTGATGCAGATGTCTGGTTGGTCCAGAAGAACTGCAGACCAGAACCAGGCCTCAAAACACCAGATCCTAAGAAGCCTGTAACCTAACTGTGTACCCAGGATGAGGCCTGTTTCCCTGGGATGGATGTCAGCCTTTGCCCCTGTATCCTGGGTCTTTACACTAAATCTAGTATAAGGCCTCCTCCCTGGGACAGACATAGACCTCATCCCCCTTCAACTCCCAGAATGCCCCTCTCCGCTGCAGGTGCTGCTTATAATATATGCAAATAAGCCTACCTTATTTTCTGAAACGACTAGCAAGAGAGATCCTGTTGTTAAAATGTAATGTTTATTTGCACTTTTTAATATGTTATAGATACATCTAAAGAAAATTAAGAGTTGGACATTGCAGTTTTTTCCTCTCTTCCCACCAAAAGACAGAGGCTTTGTCTTTTTTATTGACAATCATCAGCCTGAAACCATTAAGTTGCTTTGCTCATGTTTTTAAGACTGTTTGATTGTGCTTTTTTATCAGATAACAATGAGTAATAGTGGAATATAAGAGCTATAATTATGCCTCCTAAAACACAACACACAATGCTACAGTTGGACACCAGTGTAGAGTTATGCCCAGTGCTACTGGTATCTGTCTCTAGCACAGGACATCTTTTTATATGAATATCCTGCTGCTTCCTTCCCTTCAGATGATGATCAATTTGTCAGGACAGCACTTACTCAAACAGCCAAAGGCACAGTGTTTGATGAGACATGCACCTGCCATAAAGAAAGGCCTCAGTAGAACCGAGAAAAGGCAAAGTCGCACTAAAACCAGTATCAGTAAACTGGTTGCTGAACTCTGTGTTTGAAACTGTAGCACAGTGTGGTGTGCTTGTCTCTTTTGTGTGTGTGTGTGTGTGTGTGTGTGTGTGTGTGTGTGTGTGAGTGAAAGAGAGAGAGAGACAGTGTGTGTGTAAGAATGAGAAGGTTCCTGCATTTCCACCCTCCTCCCCGCTCTGTTTTGAGGAGATGTTGTCTAGATTTTGTTTGTGTCTCAGAAAGGACAGTGGCGGGGTTTGTACTTGTATGTAGGTAGATTAGAAAGAGAAAAGCAGGTATTGCACTATGCTTAAGTTCCTTTTTGAGAAAGTGATGATGTTACAAACCCTGCAGGCTGTTGTATGTTTTTCTTGAAGATGTCAACGTTTATGACAGCAGGTCTGGTGCATACTGCCTTGACCTGAGCACAAAATCCAGGTTTCTTGTCCAGCTCTAGAATAAGTGGTGGTCTACAAGGTGTCCCTGACAGGTTCTGTGTCACTGTGTAGCTTAACCTCAACCCAACCTGAACAATGTGTGGACAGTTAGCGATGAGCGAGTACACCCTTATTGCATCTGTATCTTTTCAGCCAGCTAAATGATCTGTATTTATAGCCATACTTGGAATGGGTGGGGCTTAACATGGGTGTCAGTGGCTTAAACTCTAAGTGGGAGGGGCTTATCTGGGGGGCTATATTTATTAGAAAATCTCTTTACAGAATAGAGCTCCAGAGCAATGTTTTTGATCACAAGATTTTAGCCAAGTACTCGCTCAAGGGGTTCAGGCAGGAGTGAGCTGGTGCCAGGGTTGGTTTCAAGTCACTACTAACAACACGCAACAAATCTAGCATTTAAAACCAGATTTTTTTTAAGCCATGAGCTACCTTTTTTGTATCCAACCTTGACATAATATTTGCATTATGACAGTGAATTTGTGAAGTAAAGCAATATTCCCTTGTGGCTGGCTTTTCACAGCATCATTTAGTCAATAATCTTTTGAAAGGCATTTAATAGTTTCAAATCTTACATGCTGCATTTTAAATGTGATTAGAATGCTCTTGTCACATTTGACAAGGTTAGCATTTAATAGAATCCAAACATTAATCCTTATCTCACCAATGGTGGCATCTCAAAACAGCACATTCATAGGAGCAACAGAGTGAGATGTCAGCTCAAGGGATAGCAACAACTCAGTATCAATCAAGAGCGGATTGTAGACACAACACAACATCCAGAATCAAATTATTAAACATATCACCATTGATATTTGTTCAATACAACAGTAGTAGATTTGCATCTCTTTGGGGATAAAAACAGTGAATATTAATTAGATTTTTAGACACTTATATTTTATAATCAGTGCCATATTTTAACCTCCAAGGTTTTGCAACTGTATAGCAGTGTATTGAAATGTGTTGCCTGGGGTTGTGGATTGGTTATTCTGCGTTGAGGTGCGATCAGATAGAACGGCAAGTGAATTTTGCTTTGTGTTTCTGCAGTCTGCAGATGTTAGTCAACGATTTGGTCACTTGTGTTCCGTGCGCAGACAGCAGAGAAAAGTCAAAATATCATTGTTGCTTGTTGTACATCATTGGTTTATATCTTGGAACAGATTTTCCTGATCCTACAACTTCTATCTGCCTGGAAAGATAAAATGTTTTCCAAGGGCAGTCTAAATCCAATATTTCAGACCACTGCTGTGGTCTGAGCAGTGGAGAAGGAAGGGAGTAGAGCAGTGTGGTATGGTCAGTCAAATATTGGATTCATACATTGGTTTTGCTCCAGGAAAACATTTTATTATATTTACACTCCGAGCAGAAAGCAGACATATATGGTACTAAATCTGTGGGATTACAGCCTCCTGTAGCAAAAGATAACATTTTGACTTTTCCCACAAGTTTCACAGAGTAACATTCATTGGTCGAGGCAGACGGCCACCCACCTAAAGCCGGGATCTGGCTGAGGTTTCTGCCTCTTTAAAGGAAGTTTTTCCTTGCCGCCGTCGCCAACTGCTTGCTCATGGTGGGAACTGTTGGGTCTCTGTAAATAATGTTATAAGGAGTTCGGTCTAGACCTGCTCTATTTGAAAAGTGTTTTGAGATAACTTCTGTTTGAATTGGCGCTATACAAATAAAATTGAATTGAACATTCATTCAATTCAACGTTCACCAGGGACTCCAGTGGGGTCTGATATTTTCCTCCAGCTCTCATCCTTTTTCATCTTGTGTATTTATACATTTTAGTGTCAAATTGTCTTGGAATAAGTGTGATTTGGTTTTGCTGAAGTTGAAACATTTTCCTTTGTATTGAATTTAGAATTGGCTTTGCGTTCAGTCTTAACACAGGTGTCCATGTCTTTCTCTTTTCCTTTCCCATGGTTTGGGGTTAAAGTTGACAGCGGTCAGTGCCTACTAGGGAATCAGATTTTGTACTGAAGGTGCTGATACGAGCGGGGGTTTGGTAGGATAAGGTTTAAAGTTTGGTTAAAGTTGGCTTAAAGCTGATGTAAACTGCATGGTGCTGCCCTGGTCGCTGTGCTGACCTAATGAATGCATGGCTCAAACTGATGATACCTCTTCCTCTCTATCCTGCTCTTCCTCCTCCTCCCCTTCCTCCCTCTCCACTCTGTGCTACATCAGAGGGCAGTGGATGGAAGGGCTCTTATTCTTTACATTTTAATAATAGCCCTGTTGTTAAACTTCTATTTTGCACGATATTTCATAAAACACATTATGTGCCTTGCCATTAGTTAAAGAACAATAATACATTACGGAAAGTGATCATACTTTTGATACTTTTCATGGTACAGCTGGAAGCTTAAAAAAAACTACAAAAAAAGCTGCATGTGTGATTGCCTGACATTAAGCAGTGTAGCAGGTAAACAGTTTTATGTTAAACAGTGGCAGTGTATGAACTGCCAGCTCAGATGCTAACTTGAGTTTAAGCTCAATGAAAGCTTTCATTAGCTTCAGCAGACACTGGGTCAGTGCTTATTCTCTACTTCCATTCAACTAAAGGCACAGCAAATCTTTACAGTGTGAAAGGAGCAGTCTGACATTTTGGGAAATACACTAGTTTGCTGTCATACTCAGAGTCACACAAAAAGGATGATACCTCTTTTATCCCACAGGACACATGGTGCAGACAATGTTTTTGTGCCAAGCTCAGCTAAACACATCCCAGCATTTGCCCCTGCTATTGTAAAGGTGTGGTAAGAATTATTTGTCTGTTAAAATAAGTGTACAATAGCTCCGTACTAACATGGGTCCCTCCTGTCTTAGTTAGCCAACATTTCACCTACAGCACCTTTAACTCAGGGTGCATTAACTATCTTTTTTCTGTTGCTTTCAACCACACCACACAGGTTCCATCAGTTGATTGGGTTGGCTCAGGTGTCATCCTGTGACATAAGTATAGAACTTATGGTAGGTCAAATGATATCAAGTTGTTATATCAAAGAGTGTCCTGAGATAACTTCTGTTATGATTTGGTGCTATACAAATAAAATGGAATTTAATTGAATATAGGGGAGATCTTAAACCCATTCCCTGCTTTAGGACATTAAGATAAGATTATAATATAATTTGTCAAACTAATTTCCAAGTTCATGCGTGATCTGTACACATAAATATATTGTCATCCTATTTTAGTCAAACTAGAAAAGAACTGTAGTTCCCAAAATGGTGGATGGTTCCTTTAGGTGTTTTAGAGACATCATTTGACACAAGTGGGTGTTGGTTGCAATCATGGAGCTGGTCTGGTTCTGAAGCTCTGCTGTTTAAGGCTAAAGTGTTGGCTTATATATATGTGTGTGGACTGAGGCAAATTAACATTGACAGTGTTGCTGTGTGTGATACATCACCAACACACTGTTAAATTCTAGATATGTGTTGTCCCAAAATGTGTACACCTGTGTGTTGTAAAGTAAACACTGTTTTAGGGGTGTGGGTACAGTATGGCTACCTATGCGAAAATGCCACTTTGCAAAAGCAAATACATTTGTTCTGAAGGTAAAGTCTGGTTCTAAGTCCTACCTAAATGTTCACAATATAATGCTCACAATACTGCTCAGTGTATATCCTGGTTTAATATCAAGTATTAAATACATGCAAACACATCTGATAGTATTTATTGCAAGGAAAAGTATTGTGAATATTTTGTCAGGCATTTAGTCAACATGGCCAAGCCACAGCCCATCTAATGGAAGCATGTTCAGGTTTGGGCTTCAAGGCTCAGCCGCTCTATGACTGGCCATTACAACACCATCCATTTGCCTGTATGAGGACTTTACCCACGTGACTACATAGTACAAAAGGCCATAGATGAGTCTTAGTTTTATATGGATGCATGCACTTAACACTATTCTTACTTAACTTGGCTTTTAGGTGTTTTATTTTATTTTTTTGTTATTTCTTGAGTTGTTGTTATTGCTTGTTGCTTGTAGAATTTGTTTTAAACACAGCAGTGTGTATAGAAATATGTCCAACATGGACTTACCAGTTAAAAACAAGGGATGTATAAAATGTTTAAGTTGGTTGTGTTTGTGCATTTTAGTTTGGCTGTCTCAAGATAGCGGCCAGACCGCAGCAGGACCCATGATATGGGAAGTATTGTAGGTGGGCTGGTAGCTAAGTTCAGCCAGAAGGATGATGATGGGTGAAAATGGTAATGGGAGAAGTTAGGGTAGAATTCACTCAAAGAGTGCATACCGCCACTAAGGCTGCACAATCCTTTTAAATGTGTTATTTTAATAACGGACAGTGTTTATAAAGATGTCAATCAGTACACAGTTTTAGACACTGGTGTCATGCCGATTGTTGCTTGGCAGCAACATTTTTTAAATATCTATATAGTGTCCTGAAATATTGGCGCTTTGTATGAGGTGAATTGTGCAAAATTACACACTGTTACAAATGTTTTGTATTTGCATATTAGGTGTGGATAGATTAAGAGATTAAGTTTCTTGCACTTGCTCAACGTGGTCAATCGTTTATGTCACTTAGGCCATACCTAAAAGAAATTGTGTGTCATGTGGCATATCAAAAGCTAATGAATATCCCACCCAAATATCTCATGGCACATTTGGTATGAATAGAATGAAGTAGGGAAAAGGGGAAATTAGAAAGTCAGACCTTGTCTTAATTGTTAATTAGATCTGATCTGAAATGTGGTGGACCTGAACAGACCTAAACAGAGATGGCAGCAGCTTGCTGCTCCACCAGTTAAACAAAAGATCAATACATGGTCTTTATCCTCCACTTCACAGTTCACTCTCTGTCTCCTGTGAGCTGATCTAGAGTCTGCTTGGATCCCTCAGGTATTAGACATATTGAGACCCAGAACTGAGATCTGCAGCAATACAACAGAACACTACCAGACCTGGCTGACTCAGGACCTGGTTAGGTCTTGGATATTAAGAACTCAGTGAAAGATAAAGAGCTTTGTTAAGAGTTAGGAGTTATGTTAGAAATTATAACCCAAAGTGAAAAGTGCTTTATGTCCAAATGATGGCACTACTGGTACAGTCTGTTTCTTTCCACAGAAATGTACTGAACACTTTTCAGTGTTGCAGGATCAAAAACAGAAGTTGGAGGTTATAATTGTGAGCTTTATGTCCACTGCAGAGTAACAGCAGCTTGGGGTGAAGCTGACAGTAGTGCTGATTGTGATTGTTAACCTTAAAAGTACTTGGCTAGATTCAAGTATATCAGGCCAAGTTGTTGTTAAAATTTCACGTTTACACTCTCTCCTTCAGTCAAAGATATCTTGGCTGTAATAATGTGTTAAATAATATGATGGTGATGGTGAGACTGTGCAACCAGCAACAGCAGCATGAAGCTGGACTGTGGTACTCACATTGCTGTCACCTAAAACTACAATCAGGAGAATAAAGGAATCAGAGTCACTAGATGTAGATTAAAGTAAGGCTGGACAGAACTAACATCTCTCCAGTTTAAATTTAAAGTAGTAGACACATAAAACCAAAACCATCATGCACAACCCAATACAATAGCAAAAACTACAACCAAAAAGCTCAAAAAAGAATAATGTAAGATGTAAAAGGGTTATATTGTTGGGCTGACGTAGTGGATTACAGAATCTGAAGTGGCTTTGTGGTTGTTGTGTCTCCTCCAGTTGATGACCAAGATTACTGTGCACATTGTACTAATCGTATTACTGCTTTTTTGTGATGTACGCACTATTTAAAGCTGCAGTAGATGCACTTTTATAAAAATGTATGACAAAGATAAGTGATTGTTGAGTCTCATTTCCAGGTCCCAAAGTGTCTGTATTTAAGGACTTGGGGATGAGTTTCTTTTGGCTCTGATTGGTTGCTGCTTATATGATTAGGAGCACTAGGAGGAGCTATCTGTCTTCTGTACTACTGTCAGGATATAGTGAAGGCTTCGGCAAATATGGAAAAAAAAAAGGTTACAAACTGCAGCTTTAAAGGCAGGTTCCTAAAAGCAGTGTATTTTCAGAGGATGGTCCTAAGAGGTTTGATTCTGTGTCGAAGTGGTTATGTAGTGTGAATCCTTTTTAATTCTATCACTCTCTATCTTTCTCTATAACTGACAACAAAACACACACAAAAAGAGAGCCAAATAGATTCCATTCCATTATACCAGCCAGCTAAGTGGAATCTACTGTGTTCTGAACATTTGTGTTTCAGCTTGCCTGTTCATCCCATTCTACCTAATGTACTAACTGAAGACATTTGATTATTATAACAAGAAATACAGTATGTCCAGGCCTCTATATCAAACAAGGTTAAAGACCATGTTGCCTCTCACTGTTGCAATCAAAGTGGAGATCTTTCCAATTCTTGTGAGGCGAGAAGTTGTGCAGAAGTCCAATTGAGGATTGTATTCAGGATATCTGTAGTTTCTCCACCTCAAGTTAAACGTGTTAATGAAGTGAGAATAATGTATTCATCTCAACAGTTCAGCCTTTCACACAAAGCAGCCCCTCGAGTATCAAAACACTGGGATGCAAATGTATCACTTTCTCTGCTCTGTTCAAATAAACCAGCAGGTCAGCAGCATGGAAACTGAAAAAAACTACAACCAAAATGATTTCAACAAGCAGTGCCTATCATTTTACTGCTCTTTTAATTTAAGTTATTTTGTATGCTGTGCTTTTAAGTATGTGTTGCATTCAAAGACTACATGGTTGTGTGAGACTTCACCCCAGTGATTGGTGCTCAGAACATCACCAGCCCTGGTCAGTGGAGATGGGCTGTGCAGGTACTGAGGTAACAAGCCATAAACAACCTGAAGAGTTGAAGAAAATCTAGAGGAACGCTGATAGATATTTTGAAGGAAATTGATGTTCAGTGGATTCATGGTTCTTCATTTGAAGCTAGATTATGTTCAGGGACTAAAGTTGTGTTCTATTTACGTCTCCATTCTAGGTTACACTTAAAAAAGGCTCCGAATGCAGCAGGATTTTCTGAGTAGCATTGAAGCATTAGCATTAGTCATCCAGAGTCTTAATGATTCTTCTTTTATCTGACCACATAGACCTCAAAGGCCGTTTTTGGGAAGTTGTGATGTTGCAAAACTTTATATTTTTAATGAATTCTAAAAAAATAATTTAAAAATTGCAACAATTTTTACAGTTTTTATTTTCTCACCTGATTTTATTCTAAAAAATTAATAAAAACTTTGTAACATGCATTGCAATGTTGTTAAATCAGGCATTTTAATTCCAAAAACCACCTGGGCGTGGTGGTCATAATGTTATACTGCCCCATAGACAAACTGTGATGCTGTGTGTTCTGACACCTTTCTATCAGAACCAGCATTAACTTGTTCAGCAATTTGAGCTATAGCCTCATGTGCATCAATGAGCCTTGGCCCCCAATGACCCTGCCTCCACTTCAGCTCTTTTCCTTCCATGGACCACTTTTGATAGATACTGCCCACTGCAGACCGCAAATCCCCCACAAGAGCTGCAGTTTTGGAGGTGCTGTGACCCAGTCGTCTAGCCATCACAATTTTGACCTTGTCAAAGTCACTCAAATCCTTACGCTGCCCATTTTTCCAGCTTCTAACACATCAACTTTGAGGACAAAATGTTCACTCTCTGCTTAATATATCCCACCCACTGACAGGTGCCATGATAACGGCATAATCAGTGTTATTTACTTCACCATCAGTGCTCATAATGTTATGGCTAATCGGTGTAAATGAACCACCTAGTCTCACGCCAAAGCTTGTAATAAGATAAGATAGATTTTATTGATCCCACACTGGGGAAATTCTCTCGCTGCAGCAGCTCCAGATACAACACAAAATAGACCCGCCAATCCACCAGAGGATACCGTGTCAATGTCACGTTTTGCCTCTCCCAGGTGGTAAAAGTACATATGTATGAAGGTGCAGTACCAACAGTAGTATAAGAGATACAAATTCCACATGTTGGCCAGCAGGAGGAAGCTCAATGGAGTGCAAGAAAGAGGTCTGAGTCTGAAACTTAATGAGAAATGAGCCTACTTCTGACTTGATTTATTAGCTTAGTAAACAGTTTCCTAATGAGTTTATGGTCTCAATCTCTAGTTTCAAGTTGTCTTCCATAAAGCCTGATTTTGTAAATGATGGTCCCCTTTAGAGTAAAAATAGACAATAAAGCAGCATATTTTTAGGGTGTGGCTATCTTGTCATTGACAAATCATCCTCAGTGAGTCTGTCCAGCTCAACGCACCAAACTCAGATCAAACTGTCAAACTAGGCAGTGCTGATCAAATATGAATCAAGATTCTGTTACTGCATTACCTACTTCTCTCCTCAAATCTTTTCATAAACATATTTTAGTGAACTGTTTATCAGTTATATGAGAATGTGTGTCGCTGGGTCAATGCAGAACTCCAGGCTTCAGAATGGTATTCAACAAATCAATGGGTGACACTAACGATAGGTTCACACTGAACAGCTGTTCAAATCCTGTTTGAAACCAAAAGTCATCACCTTTTCCTAACCCTTTTTAGGTTTTTCCTAACCAATCTCAGCAAGCTTTATTTTGAAAGTGAAACCAGACATTGCATATTTATTATTGCTAACTTAAAGCGGAGTGAGCACATGTTGAAAATCTGACAGGCCAAGGCGAGGCAAACCGTGACACTGCCCAGGTGGACTGGTGTGTATATCATACACTTTAGTGTGATACTGGGTTGGACTGATCATTGCATTATTATTACACACATGTTAATTATTGCAGCAATTGTAGTAATATAGTATTATACGTTGTTGCATCATATTGAGTTTTTACTTTGAATGCATCGTTACTTTGTGATTAATTTTCCTTTATATTACCATTTCTGTATGTTTTTAAGGCAACATTCGATCATGACTGAAACAACCCTGTGTGTCCTTTATTTATTGTTGAACAGCTTTCAGTCAACAATTTGTCAGGGACTCCCACTTGAGTCACTTTTCAATAATACATAGAATGCAGTACATATGATCAAGGTACTAAGTATTATTGGATTCCCCAGACACATCTTTTGAGCTTCGTCAAAATGTCTTTGTAGTATGTAAAACATAATTTTAACATTAGATCAGAAAGATGACTGATGTTGTCCAAGTTTGTGCTTAACTTTGAATGCTGCTGAAGGAAGGGATGGTGCTTAGTATCAGTAATCTAAAATAAGATAAGATGGACATATGTAATGTGCACTCTGTAGTGCACATTTACATTAATAAAGAAATAATGTGTGCTAAGTAACAGCTTAGTATAATGCACTACATAACATGAGAGACATGTAAATACAGCCTAATATGTACATGATAAAGATGCAGAGTTTAGTTATTAGTTATATACTATTAGGCTTTATTTCAATATCATTTGTGCATTTGAGCTATTCAGCTAAATTTGTTAAAGCTATAGTAGGTAACCTTTGTAAAAAAAAATACTTTTTAGCATATTTGCTTTGATCAAAATTAATTTTGATAAAAGTTACCTACAGCAGCCTTAATTATTTAAGTATGCAGTGGATACTAATCCATAGCATTAATCAGCATTTACTAATTTCATCCAGTTAGGAAATACTTACAGTTAGTGTTACTACTACACCTTTAGATTGCCTAAATGTGGAGCCAGGATGTCCCATGCAGTTGTCTTTCTGCTCAATGTTAATAAAGTAACCACTGAATCCACTTGACAGTTCAAAACTCTGATTTGATAGTATTCACAGATTTTAACTTGGTTGAAGCTGCTAAACTGACATGATTGTTTTGGCCCAATGGTAAATTGAAAAATTCATAATCCGTCTTAAACTAATGGTCAGTTTCTATAAAAGAATATTGTCAAAGATCTTTGAAATTTGCAGACTACACGTTGAATAAGATGTCGTTATTTATTGGGATCGATTAATGGATTAACGTGTGAAGTGGCCTCTAGATTTGTCTTTACTCTGTGGTACAAACCAAGTGCTGTTCTGACCTCTGTTAGCACTGAGGTGTAACAGAGAATAACCAAACTACTTCTGGACAACTCCTGTTGAGATGCATCCTTTCAGAATAATAGCTGTATTTCATTGGTGGGTTATGGTTAGTATTGTAAGCACTGTATGTGATTCTTGTTTGTGGATCAGATCATTGGCTGAATGCTGAGTGAGGAACAAAGGGACTGTTGGATGTCTAACTATTACGTTTTGGGGAGGTTTTTGGGGGATGTTTTCATAGAGGGCTCTTTTCTATAAACTGTCAATGTTATTCAACCCCCTGAATGCTGCTGTTGTCTGAAAAACCTTGTAACTCCAGTATGTTTCTTTTCTCTGTTTCTTACTTGAATTGCAAGTTTGCTTTTTTTTATTTGCAATGGCCCTTTGGAACCATTTCTGTAATTGAGACATGCAGCAGTTTGGAAACCTTTCTTAGTTACTGAAAATGAGATTTTGTAGAGCTACAAGTTTTCCTGTGACAGTGATGCAACATTGATTCCTACATGGTTTCTGCATACTGTTTACTCCATGTGCTGAAGACAGTTTGTAATGAACAAAATAGTTGTTTCTCAGAGAACATTTTAATGCAGTTTCATATTTTAAGGATTTTGTTTCTCATACCTTTTCAGATATTATAGTAAAGGACTGCTTTGCTTGCTTCCAGATATACGTATATCCCTTACATCAGAGAGAGCATAGGCATGATTAGCTTTCATCAGTTATTGCATGACTACAGCCCACACAGACCACAGGCCTTTTCGCAGTAATAGTATGCCAGGACTTTCTTGTCAACTTGACTTACTGTCCAAACATACAATTCTATTTTAAATGTTACAGCCAATCAGACACAATACGACCCCAATATAAGAAAATAATAGACACGGTAGAGGCAAGTTGGGTTTTACGCCAAGTCTGTTATGTTCCAGCCTGGGAGAGCTGCTGACATTAACCCTGGCTTGAGATGTTCACTGTGGAAAGGGCTGCTGGTCTGGACTGGATTTAGTTTGTAGCAGCTTTAACAAGAGCTTTTAGTACTTTTTCCTTTGGATGTTTTTCATCCGAAGTGAACGTCAATAATCAGCCTTTATTTGCATGTTGAAACTGTTCCTCTAGGACTACATTTAGACAGGGACAGGAAATGATCTCAACACTGTGGCACTGTGGTTACGTGTTCTCATGGCCACTGAAGTCATGGACTTCTGTCTGTCTGTTTAAAGTTGGACTGTTCCTGTTTGAATTAATGTTTGAGTGACACAAGTGTTTCTGACCTAATGTTATTCATCTGCTGTGGGGGATATTAACATCTTCGATAATATGTCATTATAACCACATTTAGCCATTGCTGTCAGCGAATGCTGATGAATTCATTACTGGAAATGAGAATGTTTCCCTATGCAAAAATATACCATTAATAAACAAGCTATACCACAACTCAGCCAAAAGATGTGCTTGTTCATTTCATCATCTGTTCTTATCATGATGACTGTTTAGACTTTAGAATGTTACGTAAGTGGAAAAAGGCAGTCCTAGAAGTTTACTTTATGTGGGAGTTGGGGAGTTGAAGGACGTATCATAACATATATTTGGAGTGGCTGTGGTTCAGGATGTAGAGCAGATCGTCCACTAATCAGAAGGTTGGCAGGTTTGATCCTCCCTGCTGCATATCTTTAAGCAAGATACTGAACCCCAAATTGCTCCTGATGCTGTGCAGTGGTGTGTGAATATGAATGAAGGAGTTTGTTTCTGTTTTGCTGTGAATATGTGTGAATGGGTGAATGTGGCATGTAGTGTTAAAGCACCTTGGTGGTCAGAAGATTAGAAATGGCGCTATACAAGTACAGTCCATTTACAATTTACCATTTTACCACAAGATCCACGATTTCTGACGGTGGTGATGGAGGCCAGGGTAACACCATCAAGAGTAACAATATCTTTAGATAATAAGTTTCGGGGGTGTTTGGGGCCAAGTACAAGACCTTAAGTTTTGTCTGAGAAAATCCAGTCATCAAGGTTTTTATGTCCTTAAGGCATGCTTGTAATTTAGCCAATTGATTAATTTCATCAGGATTGATCAATAGGTAACACTGGGTTAAGTTGATGGAGTGATTCCTAATAATGCTGCCTAAAGGATAAGGATGAATGAAATTGTTTTAAGCAGAGAACCTTGTGGAACTCTGTGACTAACTTTGGTGCATGGAGGATTCATCTTTAACATTTACAAACTGATAAAGCACTTATTAATGCCTTATTCTGCATGACTGTGTTCTACAACTACTATCCCATTGTCTAAGCCTCAATTACTGCTTATTGATAGTACGTAAGAAGGTTGTTTACATGAATTATAACCTTTTCTTGCTGCTTTTTTTCAAATTATAATATGGGGGTCAGATTTAAGAAGCTCAGAATAGGTATTACAATACAAACGCAGTCATGCAGTCCAGTGGTTCCCAGTCCTTCCCCTTAAATTTTCTTAAACCCTGTAAATCAAATTGTCTAAAATTTCTGTGGAGCTCTGGGTCACTGGATTACACACGGACGATATTATAGGTACAAATTCCTCCCAATCACATTAAAAACTATATTTTGATAAAGTAGTTTTCTTTTTCCAGCCAAACTGCTGCTCCCCATTACAGTCCAGTAGGTGGCTGTAATGTACCTATAACCTGATTCACCAACCTCCATTAAAACCCAAAGAAGAAGAAAATTCATTGGGCTAATCATCAACCACATAGTGGATCACACCCTACAAAGGCCATTTTACAGGAGTGTTGGGAGCATAATTTTTATTATTAGAATATCGCTCTATTTGGCAAGATGATCTTAAAACTTATAAAAAGGCCCTCCGTAATGCCAGAGGAGCCTATTATTCAGCACTAATAGAAGAAAATAAGAACAATCCCTAGGTTCCTCTTCAGCACTGTAGCCAGGCTGACAGAGAGTCACAGCTCTATTGAGCCACATATCCCCATGACCTTAAGTAGCAACGATTTCATAAGCTTCTTTTATAATAAAATTATTACTATTAGAGAGAAAATTAATCACCAAATGCCCTCAACAGGTATCAGTGGCTCTCCAAGTTCAGGAACTTTAACTAATGTAAAATCAGATAGGACTGCCTTTTTTCATTTACGTAATATTACAAAAATTAGACAAATCCTGTCACAGACGGATGCAGAAAAACTAATCCATGCATTTGTTACTTCTAAACTGGATTACTGCAATTCCTTATCATCAGGTTGCCCCAATAAGTCCATTAAGATGCTCCAATTAATTCAGAACGTTGGAACACGAGTACTGACAGGAACTAGGAAAAGAGATTTGTGTCTTTATTACATGCGAGAAAATAAATGATCTGAGAGAAATATTTGAGACTAAAAAAGTTTTGAGAGAAAATATTTTCTCATAGAACATAAAAAAATATAAATTAGAAATTTTTTAAATTATTTCTCTGAAAATCCTTTTTTAAAGTCTCAAATATATATTTTTTTGCTATTAGTGTGAAAACATTTTCTCACTTTTTTCTCATTTCTTGCTCTCGATGCAATTTCTTGCTCTCATGTCAGGATTTTGCTCTCGCTGTGAAAATGATGTCATGGGTGAGAATCGTCTTGGTAGTAGAACTGAGTCATTACACCATTGTCGATTCACCGGCATAGATGTGCTGCCTTAGTTGAGCGTGGAGACTCCAATGTTTGGGTAAGGTGATGACACACACAACTCGATGGGTAGCTAGCTGAGCAAGTTGGTAATCAAAATCATTCCCATCATAGGAATGACTGTCTAGAACTAACAGGTTAGAGAGTAACAGATCAGAGGTATTAAAGGATGTTTAACTGGTTAGTAATGTGGAGTTCAGCTCAGCTAACATCACTGAAGATTAAACATTAAATTAGCTATCCTAAATGTAAGCTAGTTTGCCCCATGAACCAACACAGCCCAGGTTATCAAGCACAAACCCCCTTCTTGGTGCTAATATGGACAGTTACTGCCTTCAAGACAACGTGACTGACATACAAAGCCCATAACCATGTTTCCATGTGCATAACCACCAGACTTCTGCCCTGCTGCACAACCTAGCCATGCCACCGGCTGCCACAGTTTCAACACCCCATACAAACCCCTTTTCCTCTGTCCACCTTGGAAGTTTCATTCACAGCACGCCTGCCAGCTATTATCCCCCATGCTCCATCTGCCCAGGGCCACACACCCCTTGCTATGACCTCATAAAAGACAATAATTATGGACATGTACCAGAACGTTGTCATAGCCAGACTGTACAGTTAAAGGACATATCCACCAAGTATGAGCGGGCCAAGATACATACACGTCAGCTTCACAGTGCACGCCACCAGCCTTCGTCTGAGATTGAGGAAGACTACGACAACAGGGAGAGGGTCCCCACTCTACGTCCTGGTCAGTATGATGGCACCACTCCATGGAAAGAGTTTCTGCACCGGTTCGAGAGCTGTGCCAAAGCTAATTACAGTCCAGAAAAGACTATGGCTGTCCAGTTGAAGTTCTGTCTGGTGGGCGCTGCAGGGGCAATCATCCACAGAAATCCTCGGTCTTCACAGTGGGACTACAGCCGTCTGGTGGAGGAGATGGAGACTGCATACGGCCCTTCGTCAGAGCATGCAGCTGCAGTAGCTATTGAACTGAGACAGCGTATCTGCAGATTGGGTGAGGCTCTCCATATGTTAAGAGATGACATATATGGAAAAGTGTCAGTAGCCTACAGTGACAGGACAGAGACTGAGCAGGACGCCATAGGCGTTGAAGTTTTCACCAATGCTGTAGGAGATGCAGAAATTGTACAGAAACTGTTAAAACAACAGCCACACACACTGGCCCAAGCCTATGACATCGCTCGCCGCCATGAAACCACCAAGCGGGCAGCGTCATATGTCACTAACCTCATGCAGTCAGGGGCACGCAGCATGGCTGAATGGAGGTCCCGTGCTGCTGTAATCAGAAAGGGGGATGTGACAGAGGGAGCCGAGGCGGGTGTAGCATCGCCAGTAGCCAGCTAGAAGCCTGAGTCTCCCAGCTTCAGCCATCCACCACGTAAATGGAAGGGCCAAAAAGACAAAAGTGAGGAGATTCGCTGCCACAATTGCTCAGGGCTGTGTCACATAAAGAGAAATTGCCCCTCACCAAGGAAAACCTTCAGAGCTCAAGCCTCAACAACCCTCCCCGAAAGCCTTGAGTCTGCTGTGCTTCATCTTAAAGCCCAAGGTCAAGAAATGAGCATTAACATGTTTGTGTATGAACTGGAAGTGTGTGCTGTTTTGGACAGTGGGGCACAGAGAAGTGTGATGCCTCTGTGCCATTATAACGCCATTCATCCAGATGTCCTGCCTTCACTACAGCCATCAGAGGTAGAGACTTTGCTTGGTGTCGGGCCTGGTGACGTCCCTGTGCTTGGTGAGGCTCACATTCCCGTACACATTAACAACCGGCAGGTGAGTGTGCATTTCCTGGTTTCTGACATAGCTGGCGATGAGGCTCTCTTAGGCCATTCAAGCTCAAGCACACCTTGATTTTGGGAACCACCGCATTGTGCTGTTTGGAGAGGAAGTGCCCTATTTCCGCTCACGAAACGAACCAAAGACGCATGCAGTGAGAGTGACTCAGACTGTGGTGTTGGAGGCTGGACAAGAGTACCTGGTACGAGGCAACGTTCACTACAGGGAACCTGTTAAAGGGGAGGTGATGTTGAACCCCACCAAAGACTTCGTAGAGAAACACAAAGTGCTTGTTGCCCGCATCCGCATCAGCCGTAACCATTAAAGAGGGGGCAATTGCAGGGTTTCTCCAGCCTGCTAAAGCCCAGCCATCCACAAAGACCACAACTCAGCCCGAGCAGACTGTCAGCAGCAACCCCACTGTTCCCCAGCACCTGCAGGAGCTTTACACCCAGAGTTCCACTGAGCTTAACAGAGAACAGCAGCTTCAGCTAGCACAGCTGCTGTGCACCTATGACACTGTGTTCTCCACTGCTCCGGATGACCTCAGCCGCACCAGCTTGGTGCAGCATGTCATCATAACCCGGCCAGGCATCCCAGTCAAGCAGCCACCACGCCGGATGGCGTGTGAGAAACAACAGAGTGCTGACCACCAGATACAGCAGAGCTTGAAAGCAGGACTGGCACGCCAGAGCCACAGCAGCTGGGCATCGCCTATAGTGATGGTACATAAAAAGGACGGTACCTACCGCCTCTGCATAGACTATAGAGCCTTGAATGACTGTACCATTAAAGACGCATACCCGCTGCACCGCATCCAGGACACCCCAGACACCCTCTCCAGTGCCAAATGGTTCCGGCTACTGCCAGGTCGAACTGACCCCCAGAGCACACAAAGCAGCAGCCTTCTGCACCAGAAATGGACTGTTTGAGTGGAACATTATGCCGTTTGGACTGTGCAATGCC